TAAGAGCTGCAGCTGTTGGGGACATCTCAAGTATTACAGGTGACTGTGGGCTCGATTTCGAGATTTCAAAGAATGGCGGCTTTTAACAAAAATATTTTTTATATAAGAATGAATATATATATATATATAAAAGCTGATGCTTTTGTCAAAGAAAGGTTGTACGAAACTAAATAATTCTTTTAGAAAAATCTAAAAGTGCTAAAAGTTTTTATGTTTTGAAAGATAAAATCTGGTTTATGGCGACGTAGATTTTGTTGTCACATCTCACTCTCACTAATTAATAAAATCGATATGACGATAATTAGGTTGTTAGTGATTCTGTACATACGAACGTTCAGTGCTAACCTCCCGCTGAGTGGATATTTGTCATACTTAAAAATAGCGATCGTAAAGTTAACTAACTGCTAGTTACCGTTGGTTTAAAGCTAATTGAAAACACAGTTACCGTTACTTTAACGGTAACGGATTATCTTGAAATGTAGCTGATCTGTGTTTGGAGAAAGCCTTGACTCGAGACACTAATAACCAGTTATTTTGATAACTTTATTATATAAATTTACAGAATGATCAACACCTTGTTAAAATGAAGTGTAAGCGCTGAAAACCGATGTGCCAGACTGAATAACATATGTCAATATATATAGTACGAGTTAGAAAAGTGAAAGAGAGAGAGAGAGATGAACACTGTACACAAAGAGGAATTGTATAACAAAAAGAAGTAGTATCATACCGTTCGTAAATGACCAAATGGAAAGAAATGAAGAAGGAAAAAAGAGAATGACATGCGGCGAGAAAATGACTTATAATACAGACTTCTACGGAGTGCAAATGTCTACCTAACATTCGTTTCCCGGCCATGAAGGACTGACGTCCTCGTCAGTAATTGACTACTAAAAACAATTAGGAAGGAATAAAATACCAGAAAAATGTGACCCTATTTAGAGAAAAAGATAAAAGCGTCTTTTGCTGTGGACGAAAGCAACTTGACTTTCGAGCTGCTGATGCAAGTGCCGATAGACTTTTACTGTTGATCCCAAATGCCATTTTGATAAAACTATTTATGTAATAGGAATACGCTAGTCATTGTGTCTGTTGTGTGAATATCTGGAACTAAAATTCTTTAAAATTGAGTACCTAACACCGACATAAGTTTTGTATATGATTCACGTCTTGTTGTTTTGATAATATATTTCCAATAACGTAATCAATCGTCCTTGTTGTTTAACAATCCGCCATGGTCCGTTCTATTTCTCATCCAGTTTTGCTGATCTTCCCAGCTTTCTTGCCATCCCTAGTTGTCCGATATTAAACTTGATATCACTTCTTCCTTAATTATATATTGTTGATATTGTCGTTGTCGTCAATACATATTTGTTTCTGCATCTCGTGGAGCTTGTTACAAATACCTATCAACCAGCACAGCATAATCCAATGTTTTGGGTATCTGATTGATTCATAACATTGTTGAAATAGTGTTGGTTTTCGTCTATATAATAATACCGCTGGTTCTAAGTCAGCAGCTGAATGTCTAGATGTGTTCTACGATGAAGTCACAAAAGGGAGATATTCGTCCCAATCTGTGTACTGTTGGTTTACATAGATAGCTAATTTATCGGCCAATGATGCATTAATTCTTTCCGTTCAAATCATTACACTGTGGATGATACGCTGTTGTTTTAATGTGCTTGGCTCCACAACGTTTCACAATATTCGAAATAATTCCGCTGTAAAATGTGTGCCCCGATCTGTTAATATGCTTGTTGATGTGTGATGACGAAGAATCACTTGTTCCACTACGAATTTTGCTGCGTCTTGTGCTGTAGGTTATGGTACCGCTTTCGTCTCCACATATTTGGTTAAATAAGCTGTTAATTAATATTAATGCACACTTGTTACCATTGACTGATATTGATAATGGCCCTAAATAATCTAATCTTACTAATTCAAATGGCACAGTGGGGGTGGTATTGATTCTAATGTACCGCTTGGTTTCATACGACGATGTTTAAATCGTTGACAACTTTTACATGATTTAACATATGATGCAATTGTATTAAACATTTGCAGCCAGTAGTATTTGTCCCGTAACCCATACCCCGTTCTCAAAATGCCGAAGTGTGATGCGGTTATATGATTCCGGTAATTTTTCATAGCGGTTGAGATCAAAGACTTTGGTAAATATGCTAAATGCAATGTTGTTTTACCTTGACTCCGAACGGCATTGTGAACAATATCGTTGGTTAATACATATTGCTGATGCACAAGACGTCGTGAAGATGACGGTGATCCCAGTTCTGTGTAAACTCCATGGATGTTTGAAACGTTATCTTGTGTTTGGTTTAATTTTGTTAACTCAGGTGTATCCACCTTCATACTATCATCCGTAGTCAACACCCATTCATCTAATTCTTCAGGTGCACCAACGGGATAACGTGACACACATTCAGCATCATAATGGGGCGTTCCCCATTTATGTTTAATATCCGTTTCAAATTCTTGTAATTGCAATGACCATCGTGCTAGTCAGTCGTTGTTTGACAGTTTATTGCTTAACCTCACTCACAAAAACACTATTAGATTCATTTCTGGAATCAGAATTTGTAGCATTAGTTAAACATATTCCACAACAAAACAAAGTTATTAGATATATTGAATTAACATGTTAAAATATTTGATCCAAATGAACCGCTGATAATTAATCAGGATTTTCCCCCACATCAAATCGATACAAGCACCCATCGTCCAGAAGTTTCAAGACCATATCATGCTGGTTTTGAAGAAAGAGAGGTATAATGCAAACCAGTCAAACAGATGTTAAACGACAACATTATTCGTGAATCGAAAAGCCCGTGGGCATTACCGGTAGTGATAGTGGAAAAGAAAGATGGTTGTCCAAGATTTTGTGTGGATTAATAATGTCACAACAAAAGATCGTTACCCAATGTCACGAGTTGATAATCTATTTGGTCGCTTATCGGGATCGCGTTATTTTACAACGTTAGACCTTTGACAAGGTTACTGGCAAGTTCCACTGAAGGATCACAACAAATACAAGACGGTTTTTTTCGTTACTATGGATGCGCTGTTTGCATTTAATGTGATGGCATTTGGCTTTGCCAATAGTCCCACCACTTTTCAGAGAGTCATAAATTCTGCTCGAGCACAACGTTGCTGGAATGGTGCTATGGCGTACCTGGATGATATAATTATATTTTCAAAAACTTTAGATGAACATGTAGCCCGCATTGATCTCATATTAACAACATTGGCGCAAGCAAAAGAATTAATTTTAAAAACATGCAGTATGGTTAAAAACATATATTTTGCTAGAGGATGAATTGAACAATATTAGAGAAATAACAAAGAAGAATGGTTATCCTCGTTCGTTCGTTGATAAGCTAATTGGAATGAAATTGAGTAAATGGTACACTGGCTCTACTATCAATAATAAGAGTAATAATAATGAAAAGAAGAAAATTTGTATTGAAGTACCATTTATTAACAATGCTGCTAAAACGTTTAAAAATGATCTACGGAAATTTAGTACCCAGATTCGACCTGATATTGAGCTATTGGTAATTGAAAAACCACCACCCTCGGTACAAACATCGTTTAATCTTAAAGATAAAATACCCAATTATTTACAATCGGACATTGTGTATGGGGTGAAATGCCAAGAGTGCCCATCAAATTATTTTGGGAAGACTATTCGCCAAGCTATTAGACGGCTTGAAGAGCATGGTCTAAAGAGGCATTCTCTGCAGAATCTTTCATCAGAGTCACCTACCACTTTACAATCCCAGCCACAGAGCAATACAACTGATTTAAATCATTCGATGAGGTCACACTTGTCGAGAATAGCTAAAACGGAAGCTTCTAAGCGGATTACTCATCAGATCAAACAAATGGAGGTGTCCGATGATGATATATTTGGTGACTATAATTTTAAAAAAGCATCTATTCCTCGAGAAAAATCAGCTATACAAAAACATAGTGCAGATAAGCATCACAATTTCGACTGGGACAACTGGAATATAACTGAGCGAGACAGGATTCAATATCGTTTACTTATTAAGGAGTCTCTCTCCATTTTAGCACTGAAACCTGATTTAAACGGTACAGTTCGATCGGTACCGTTAATTGTATTTCCGAATGGTTTATCTATGAATCACAAGAAAATATATGATCCAGGCGGTTACACACATTACATTGAAGAAAGTAGAAAGAGAGAAAAGGAATGAACAGTCAGGAGGTCAATAGAATAAGTAAAAGAAAGTTCATGATTTTCTCCTCTTTTCTATTCTGATCAGTAGTAAAATCGCAAGTATATATAGACCAGTTTCATCATTCTGTTTATCTAAATTTTAAATTGTATATAGTTTGTATTTCACTTTTGAAGATGACTCTATGAAGAGTCGAAACGTCAAGATAAATTTAAATTATTAAATTAAATAAATGACTGCTGCTGTGTACAAAAATTTATTTTTAACTAGATAAATGTCAAATTTCAGATCAAAGTTCCTCTTTCACACGTCGACAGCCGACAGAATTACGTCCAGGTCTATCTGATCTGATCTGCAGCATCCTGACCACTGTCTGCTCTCTGGTGTTTATGCGTGCGGATCCTCTTGGTCACTTTCATTACGGCAAGAACTGCAGACCTGTCCATCACATTATTGGATGATGGTATGCTGAATAAGAGATGACAAGAGATCTTGTTGACAGTCGTTATCTTTTTTGTATAGCAATAGCAAAGACAGCTAGCTAACTAGACGTCCTAAATCGCAGCATATATTTCATGAGGATTGATCCAATAAATAGCTGCGATTTTGTCTGAGATTGTCAGTCATTTGTAGTGGTTACTAAGTGCTCGCAATGGTAATGTCGGCATGTTGATTAGCAAGAAGAAATGAAGTGGTGTCGCTCTTGCAATCTTTCCCATCTCTAGGAGGAAGAGAGCTCTGAAAAATTGATTCTAGGAGACCAAGACTGCGGATTGGTTAAGATTAGGTCGAAAGTCTTCGTCATTTCTTTCCACTCAAAGAAGAAGATGATCGACGGTATGCTAGTCGGTCCTATGGGCACATATCATCGTAGATGATCGAACACGTTAACAGAGTCGCGTTTAATGTATGAAAATAAAAACATCCCACTGTCACTCTAGTGTGTGTATGATGGTAGATATAGATAAATCTCTTTTAGATTCATTTATTGAACACAAACAAAATGTGAAAAATTCACTTCGCGGATCAACTCCGAATGAAGAAACGTCCTGTGACTATAGGTGGAACGAGGAAGAGAACATTCAGTAGTATAAGAACGAACTCCGATTGTGGTTTGATTCCACCGTTGTGCTCCCCGTTACCAATTCCTCCCGAAGCAAAACACCAGTTACGCTTAAACGGCGGCAAACGGTATTTTAGTTATTTTACGAATTACATATGTTATCATAAATCTTAATCAATAATTTGAATCATTGTGCAATGTACCACGCGATGCCTTTTTCACATTCATAGCTCAACACTACAGCAGACATGTCAAATCTCAAAAACTTCTTGTTCTCACCGACGGTATGCTATGCGGACGCCGACATTTATTTCATATGATCTTAGGCTTTCAGTCAAGGGAAGATATGAGTCTGTATACATTCAAAAGAGTAATTACAAGATCGAACAAATTATTTTTGTCATTGTCCTCAGTGCTTTTATGGCTCAATTTGTCAGCATAATACACGATTGCTATCGTTTACATTAGAATCTCTATTGACTAGCGATCTATTCTCATCATCTGTAGGAATAGGACAATTATCATTCGTCGTTTATCTACTAATACCCATTATTTTGTTTTTAATTGGTTTCATCAATAATCTATTATGTATCGTGACATTTATTCGACCAAAACCGCGTCTAGTTGGAGCAGGCTGTTATTTATTAGTAAATAGTATAACGAGTCAGTTGTCGTTGTTTCTACTCGTTCTCAAAATCGCCCATGTTTTATTGAGCACAAAGGGTCTCATTATGAATGATATAGCAAATATCGTCATATATAAGTCGGTTACATTTCTGCTGTCGTGTTCTACAAGAACAAATTACTGGCTAACTGGATTGATTACGCTTGAGCGTGTTTACGTCACCAAATATCCGACTGGTCTATGGTTGAAAAATCCAAAAATCGCTAAACGATTGTTTATAATCATATTCATCGGTGCATTTGGTTCCGATGTACACGAAGTTTTATATCATACTGTTGTACCTGATCTAAAATATAGTCAATACGGTGAGAGAGAATAATATGTCATATGGTATTCTCTAAAAACAGATTGACTGAAAGTAGAGTTTAAGAGAGCTTTTTATTTTGCTCCTTTAATTCTTGCGAAATCATATGAGTCTGTATACATCCAAAAGGTTTTTCATGTTTCCTAAACGTTCATTTTCTCTTCCTAAACCAAAAAAGGCTTACATAGCTATTAATTTCAATCTCTATGGAAAGGGTTTATAAGAGCTGCTTCAAGATCCTTTTAAGTTTATAAAAGGAAAAAAAATCGTTAACCTCGCTAAACCATTTCATAGTGTTCTGGAATTTGTAGCCATACAAAACCTTTTTCGATTTAGCAGAAAAAAGTCAAGGCTTAGGAAACATCAAAAAGCAGTTAAGATATAAAAAATGTTTTAGTTTTGTACAAAACCTAGAGGGTTTAGCAACATTACTTCAAAACCCTTTTGAACTTTTAACCCATTTTTAGGGGTTTTTAGTCAACCTGTTTTCTACAGTATAGTCGTGGTCAATGTAGGTTCTAAACCGTCCATAAGGCAGGCCGAATTTGACGGCAAGATGTCGAACATCTCCCATAGCAAATTATAAAATATCCGCTGAGTGGGATCCCGCATTTTCGAGGATGCTATTTTCTGGTAGAAAGGAAGAACGCCGTTTCAACCCAAACCAAACGGTTAGAACGTATTTTCAATCAGTAGTGCCACAAAATCACTAGTGGACAAAAAGGTCTAAGTACTGATGAGAGTCTGGGACATTTTTTGAAGAAAATCACATTTATTTGTTGCAAACAACCTTTACTGAGACGCATACTTTTCCTAGAAAATAAACTACAATTGAGAAGATAGTATATGCGTTCGATGCGTCGTTTCAAGTTCTATCAGATGAGATTAAGGGTCCTTTCATGGAGCCTTTCGTGCGATTTTTGCGACGATCAAGATACAAAATGATAAAAGTACGATATTTTTTATCGTGCGTGTACAAGACGATTACTCGCCTTTTTAGATGCCTTCCATGTATGTGACAGCATCTTTGTTCTGGAATTTTCCACTCAATCAAAGTTTTTGTTTTTAACCTTGACTGGCACCAACCTCTACGTTTTTTTCGTCCGAAGAGTTGAAACTTATTACCACAGATATTTTACAAGGTATCTCACAGCTTATTTCTTCGATTTCATTTAATCTCTCGTTCTTTCGGAATAAAGAGATAATAGTAGAGAACTTTCAAAACCTAGCTTCTGGTTCTAAAAACCATAAAATTCAACGAACAAAAGTCAGAATACAAAAGAAAACCTAAGCACCTAGATGAAACCTTGTATACCTCTGCTAATAATTTCACCTCAATTGGATAAAATCTAGGGAGACCGATACTGGATGCATATGAGGCTGAGTCGAGGTCTGGACCAGAAAACTAGAATCAGAAAGTCAGTTTTTAAAGGCTTTATCAAAATACTTATAACTCTAAGATAAAAGCATCTTTGGGAGTGCAAAGACGCCTGGTTTTGCACAGAAATGCTGATTCTTTCGCTGAAACAACTTCGCTAGAAAATACAGCTAAAATTTTTTAAAGTGAGAAATACCTATTTGTCCGCTTTAATTGGCAAACCTCATGTGTGATCTGGTTTCTAATCATTTAGTTATTTCACTTTTCGATGTACACGTACTGAAATGGTCTGGGCAACATTTCTTCGATTTGAACTTGGTCGAAGACTGTCCGTACGTCAGCAAAGCAAGACAGAAAGATCTCTACTCGGTTTTTAAACAGCGGTTTATTTTCAAAGCTTTATGAAAGAAACAATGTCGCTCGACTCAAAGTCTGACACTTGTACTCTATTTTCCAGATTTCACATGCTCTTCTTTCGAGAGCTAGAACCTCTTAAATGTTACAGTGTACAGATAGCGCATGTTCTTTCAAATAATGTTTCTTAAGTGTTTACATTTCGGTGAATGCATAAGATTCAGCAGTTAAAGTAACAGAAACAAAGATATATTTGACTTTACCAAAGATTACGTTTAAAAAAATCAACAGAAAAAAAAGAAAAAATGTATGGTACAATCAGAAAAAATCTCAGTAAAAGACGTTCAAAATTAGGAAGTTAGTAGACCTTAGAGCAAAAAGGCAGAAACGAGGCAGAAAAAGTTCCAAAAAACAGATATTTTTAACCAAAATCCCTGATTCAAGCCATTCTGAAATAACCAAGGCGTAATCAGCACTGCTTTTCTCCTTGAGTATTCAGTAGTAATAGTCTTATTTTTGTGGCTAAATTGGAATATTAAGGAAAGTGTGAAAACAGAACCTTCCCAGTCGGTCATAGTCATTCGAGAAAAGCGCAGGAAACTCTGTTTACGAAAACTTTTACGCATTTAGCGAGTTTTGAATAATAACGCGCAAGAAGCTGCGAGTGTGTAAAAATAAACCGCAGGAACACGCGTGTAAAGCCTTTGTTTCCACGGCAACGTGCGTTTCCTGCGGTTTATTTTTACACACTCGCACCTTCCTGCGCGTTATTATTCGAAACTCGCTAAATGCGTAAAAGTTTTCATAAACAGAGTTTCCTGCGCTTTTCTCGAATGACTATGACTGACTGGGTCACTACTATACGTTTTGAAAAAGAATGCCCCTGACTATTTTTCGAATAACTTTTGATAGAAAGTAGGTAAAGAGATGCGGTTTTCGCTGTTCGAGAGCGAACACCTTAGACATCTTGAGAAATAAAAATCGGATCAGGTCTACCATCTGCGGGTGGTAAGCCATTCATATCTTTGAACGACAAGGTTGGAAAGGAACGAAAAAAAGATTTTTTCCCGTTCTTTTATAGATTCGAACCAGCAAACCTTCCTCTACAAAACCCTAGAGAGCGCCTTTTT